AAAATACCCTCCTACGCAGACACCCCTTGACGCCCTGCCCGCCAAGGCGCTGGAGAACGACACGCACCAACTGCTCTCCGACCTCGAGACCGCCAGCAAATGCTACGATACGCTGCAGCACGCCCTCTGTGACTGCCATTTCGGGCTGCGGGAGCTGCGCGCCGCGCTCGGCCCATCGTCCCCAACATTCAGGGCGCCACTCCCCGCAAACGTGCTCCTCCTCTCACCGAGCCGCCACGTGCCCCACAGCTGCACACTGCGCTGACCGCGAAGCAGCACGCGGTGCTGCGCAACGCAGTCGAACGGCTGCACAACTGCACCAAGGACGAGCACGTAGAGCTCGAGATGCGGGTCACGGACGAGCAGGTGCCCGCACGCGGCATTGCGACAACGATCTTGCAGCTGCAGCCCGGATCCGCATCAGGTGTTAAGACGTCGAGTATGCAGGGCTGGGGCATCTCCAGCGTGGGGCGCGGATGCCGTGGCGAAGCGGCGACGCAATGCGGTTAGTGAGCAGGTGCGCATCGGTAGCACGGCGGTGGTGGAGAAGAGTTTATGCGCAGCGGCGGCGCCGCACTTCAAACGTTACGCCTCGACAACATCAGCGTTTTGAGCCATGTCTCCTCGGGCTACGCGCAACTCCCTTCCCAGGTGCCTCTGCTACAGCACCTCCACGTCTCGCACCACGCGCCATTCGCGGAGCGCACCTTCGTCTCGCACCACGCGCCATTCGCGGAGCGCACCTTCGCTGTCCTCCCAACGGCGCTGCGCACGCTCACCATGTCCCACTACTATGGGTTGTGGACGTACGCGGAGCCCGCGGTGGCATTCATGGCTGCGCTGGTGGTGTGTATTTCCACGAGCAGCAGAGAGATCGCGCGTGTCGAGGCATCGGACGGAGACGGGCGGCACATTGTCTTGCCCGGCTGCGGAGGTGTATTTTGGTGCTGTGGGTGCGGTTTTGGGAACAATGGAGCTCTCTCTGTGATGTCACTGAGTTTCTCGTCGTCCTCATAACCCGAGGGGTGCGCCGTCGTGTATAGAAAGGGGTGGGGTGGAAGTACCCCAGCGCTCGATATTGCTCGATGGGATAGTTTATCTGCCTTGAGTCCAGAAGTACATCATTTTCCTATTAAAAGTGTGAGTGAGATGGTAGAGCACGAAAAGGGGGACAATGTGGCACACAGCACGACACAAAACGAGCATGGGGATTATCTAAAGGACTATGGTCAGCCCAGCGGATGGCCGCCATGCTCGTTTCACAGGGTAAAAGAAAGGAAGAGAGATATGGAGAAAACCCACGGAGAGTTGCACTGAATCTTAAGGGTCGTGGCGGAGAAGATGAAGATGAGCAATCAGCTCATGGTGGTCGAAAAGAAGGAGTGTCACAGTGTGACCGCTCACAAACATTGTCACTTTACGGATTAGGAACACAGAGATTTGTTCCATTTGGTGCGACGAAAGCTATGATACAAAAAGTGAGTAGATGGACTCAAAAATAAAAGCCTTTCCTGTTGGCAGTAGAACATTTGCCATATTCCGCTTTGTAAAAAACGCCAGAAAATAGGAAACGGGCTTGTGCGGGGCCGTCAGTGCAATAATGAGCCGTTAAAGGGCTGTTAAGGGTTTAGATATGATGGAAGCACTCCATGGATCATATATTTCACAGAATTCTGACAATGGGAGAGTAAGGCGATGATATATATTTTGGAACAATATCAAACACATAATAGGAGACACATCCTGCTTGCAAATCCAAATCTGCTTCGACGAAAGATGATTAATTTTGTCCCAGAAACGATTCAGACAAAAAAACACCGAAAATAATGGGGGTCAAAAATGAGAAACAAAATGATCCTTTTAAAAAACAATCACATAATTTTCTTACTGGTCCAACCTGGATAAAAAGGAGCTCACCTAGTTGAACCAAATCCGTGGATATATAATTTTCATTGCTCAAGAGCAACAGGTGTTTGAACTGCAAAATGTGAGTTTGGCGGGTCTGAGTTTGGTTAACAAACATGTAATAGCACAATACTATTCTTCCTCGATTCCCATGTCCAAACTCAAGAAAAGCCGGAAAAAGCTTCCAGATGACCGCAGGACCTACCACCCAAGGTCAAGACCCCTGTTTTATGCCAAAACAATTTCACTGACATGTTATATTGCAGCCTCAATGCCGGATAACAGGCAGAAACCCACTGCAAGGATCCGCGAGTCATTACAAGTGGTACATCTCCCCTTTTGCAAAGTTTTCGATGTTTTTCATTTTACTGGAACTTATGTTCAGAAATATGACAGGAATACCAGAGAAAAGGTGGATTCAGGTTGCCGAATGTCAGTATTTGGCGTAAATCTCGATCTCGAGAACAGCAAGTGTATTTCCTTTCAGTATTACAGCTGCAAGGCAATTAAACAGTAATACAAGCTCCGCTAAGGCTCTGCATCGGACACTGTCTCGAAATGCTTGGAGCAAGAAAATATTGTGTCTGAAGCGCGGATTTCCGAGCAGGCCAAATTCATTTCGGCGCGAAAATCCGAGTTCCATTGGGGCTTATTTTCTCGTTCTTGCTAGCATCCAAAGTAATGCTAATAGTAACTTGTGTTTAACGGCGGACTCCGAGGGTGCAGGAATTTGTCACCGTCTAAACGCAGTGCATTTGGCTTTAATCAGGTCACGATCATGTAATCCCAAACTCGTACCAATTTCAAACATCTGTTTACGGTATGGACAATAGATCAAAATGACTGAGGCATCCTAATGTTAACGACAACCTGGTACAGCAATTTGTACCGGTAGAAAATAGAAAAAGAAAAAGATGTGAGATAAGAATATGAAGTCCGTACGCAATAAGGGACACACATTTTAGACCATTCGAGGACGAGGGTGCAAGGTGCACAGAGGACACAGGCATGGACAGCGTGGACGTGGATATAACCGCTGGCAGCGGCACTGAATAGCGGCTCGCGGCACCGCAGATCGTGCATCCGTGAATTGTACGCGTATATTCCGTGGCGCCCCGCCAGCATACACTTTGTCTCTGGTACCCTTCTTAGGCACCGGTGCCGCGCTCCTCTCCCTCTCCTTCTCCCTCTCGCGTATATACCGATCCGGCCGTTCCCGCTCAATGGGGTCGCGCTCGCGGTCGGCGTGGATCTGCACCGCGCGGATGGGGCTCACGTTGCGGGGGCGCGCACACGCGTTCGGGCTCATGGCGGCGGCGCCTTTGTACCTGTATGGCGCGTCGGCGCCGGGATAGGCACGCGACGCCGACGAAGCACATATAAATAGAGGATGAGAAAGAAAAAGAAATGCACTCACAGACATGGAAGAAGGACATGCTGATGCAAGCTAAGAGGGGCAAAAGCGCCGAGTAATTGCAGAGAAATGGAAGGACTGCCGCTTGCACGCAATTGCAAGGCAGAAAACGAAGCTACCATTGGGAGGAGAAGCGTGCATCTGCCTATGTCGTTCTAGGAGGAACGGTACTGCCGTAGGCTTCCAGGTGAAATGCTGCTTTTGTTGCAGTGGAAGCGGCCCCGTGGCCGTGCGGAGGAAGTACTGATGCAAGAAAAGGCGGTACAGTCGGCTGAGCAAGAGGGGAGTGCAGAGAGAAACACTGCAAGCAGTAAAATTGACTGAGCAGGGAGAAGCAACAGCAGAACCAGCAGGGGCAGCAGGGGGAGCCCGCAAAAGGGCAGCTGTCGGGTGCATTAAAAAGAGCAACAGGGGGGAGCAGAGCGTTGAATAGAGCTCAAAAAAAGGAGCGGTGGTATACCAAGGCGGTGGGTTATTTGTTGTGCTGTGCACCAGACCAGGAGCGGTGAGGCATGCTAAAAGCGCGCTGCTTTTATATTATTGTGGGCGGAAAATTGGGCGGATAGACCTAGCTGGCCTTCCACGGTCGCTTGTGTGACTCCAAGAGACCCGTTGAATCCTTCGTTGCATTGACGATGGGGAGGGTGCAGGCAGGGAAGCCAGAGGAGCATATTGTAGTGGCGGAAGAGAAGCGAGGCAATGGAATGCTAATACCTGTCAACAAATCTAAATGGGGCCAGCCGACCTGATCCAGTGATGTACCCGACAAGTTGCCGACAAGGGCGGGAGCGCCCCAGGCGGCGAGCACGCACGTCGTGCGTGCAGCTGCTTTTGGCAGCTCTCTGATGGACTTACACGCTGTCAAAGACTTCTAAGCAGAGGCGAAAACACATCACGGTTGTCCACTGATCAGCGGTGCTATGATAGATCAAATCCCCATATATGCCTGTTATATACAATTTCGAGAGAGTGAGTCATATTTTTATGACTCAATTAGTGAGTTAGTATGACGATGCTGGACTCAAAATGAGTCAGAATAAAGCTGTAGATCCGAAGGTAACCAATTTTTGGATCAATTAGCCGAGATTTGTTGATGTTGATGTTCCAGAATGTTCCACTAAGTTCCTGGGAATATTTGGAAGAATGTGATGCATGGGATTTGGGTGCCAATTTAGGTTGTGTGTCATTTGTCAGCATTTTTCCCAGATCGAATTTGATGGGACAATTCCATCTTGACTCCAAACAATTTGGAGTCATGACAACATTCAGCAGCACTGTCTCTTTGGACGAGAACTTTGTCATGTGGGAACCCAGTTCGACTCTGGGATGGGTTATGATTGATCATTCATTTGTAAGCTTCTCCTTTTTTGTTCAGGATCCTTTTATTTCATTTTATTGCAAATGGACCAGATGGTAACCTGCCCACTAGAAATTCGATCTCAGTGTGCACCTCTAACTTTTTTAGATTATTTTGGGATTAATAAATTATCTCATTTTACCCAACTAACACAGCAGAATGGCCCATTGGTGCAGAAGGTAGCATACCCACAATATTAGTGTATTGTTCGAATCTGGGACAGGACATCCTGTAATTTCTGTGTGCCCAATTAATTTTTTATCTGACTTGTTCATTTAATTTCAAATTCAGACCTGTATATATTCTGGTTCAACAAAACAGAAGGACCTGTTGGTGCGGTGGTTAGCACACCCACAATAACTGGTGCAATATATCTCTCCATTATGTGGGCAGTCCCAGTTCAACTCTGTGACAGGTCATTAGGAGGAAATATATATATATATTTCTGCCAGCCACCACATATGACATTGGAACTGAACTAAAATGACACCACACAAAAAGACCTGTTAGCACAACCATGTCAACAGAGGTGTGCTAAAAAAAAGGACAATTCAATGGACAACAGCTGAACTATAGAAACTGAAGCTATAGAAGGTAAACACTATCACACGGTGCTATTAAGGGTGTTCCACCAGTGATGGTAGATAACACTTTGCCCACTTGGTACCATAAGCAAATTTATCATATGACAGCAAAGTTTGCTGTCTGCCAATTATGAGTTTGTTAAGAGGCATCCAGAATCCAAATCTGTGTTCATAAGGCAGCCAGAAGATCAATTCACCGGTGCTAGACAAGACCCAGCCTTCCTGAATAGTCCAAAAAGGAGAAACATAGGGGATTTCAGGCTGAAATAGAACAGAGTAAACCCTGGGAACCTATGGAAGAAGTTAGAGCTTACTTTGATAGAATTGCTGCAATATGAGATGGGTAAGCCTGATTGAAAGGGTGTTGTATTGGAGTGGGTGACCTGGAGGGCATCCTGTGAGCACATAATGCTGTCCCAGGAGCCAGGAACAATATGCTTGCCATCTGGGGAGAAGGCTACTGATGTCAGCAAACCAGTGTGGCGTTTTAATGGCTCGCCCAGTGGCGCTCCACTCGCTGCATCCCACAAGCGCACAGTGCTGTCATCAGAGCCAGAGACAATATGCTGCCCATCTGGGGAGAAGGCTACTGATCTGACTGAACCAGTGTGGCCTTTTAATGGCTTGCCCAGTGGTGCTCCGCTCTCTGGATCCCACAAGCGCACAGTGCTGTCATTGGAGCCAGAGACAATATGCTTCCCATCTGTGGAGAAGGCTACTGATATGACCCAATCAGTGTGGCCTTTTAATGGCTCACGCAGTGGTGCTCCACTCTCTGTATCCCACAAGCGCACAGTCCTGTCATAAGAGCCAGAGACAATATGCTTCCCATCTGGGGAGAAGGCTACTGATCTGACCCAACCAGTGTGGCCTTTTAATGGCTCACCCAGTGGTGCTCCACTCTCTGCATCCCACAAGCGCACACTGCTGTCATCGGAGCCAGAGGCAATATGCTGCCCATCTGGGGAGAAGGCGACTGATGTGACCCAATCAGTGTGGCCTTTTAATGGCTCACCGAGTGGTGCTCCACTCTCTGCATCCCACAAGCGCACAGTGCTGTCATTGGAGCCAGAGACAATATGCTTCCCATCTGTGGAGAAGGCGACTGATGTGACCCAATCATTGTGGCCCTTTAATGGCTCGCCCAGTGGTGCTCCACTCTCTGCATCCCACAAGCACACAGTGCTGTCACGGGAGCCAGATACAATATGCTTCCCATCTGGGGAGAAGGCTACCGATGTGACCCAATCAGTGTGGCCTTTTAATGGCTTGCCCAGTGGTGCTCCACTCGCTGCATCCCACAAGTGCACAGTGCTGTCATCAGAGCCAGAGACAATATGCTTCCCATCTGGGGAGAAGGCTACTGATGTGACCAAATTACTGTGGCCTTTTAATGGCTCGCCCAGTGGTGCTCCACTCTCTGCATCCCACAAGCGCACAGTGCTGTCATCGGAGCCAGAGACTATATGCTTCCCATCTGGGGAGAAGGCTACTGATGTGACCCAATCAGTGTGGCCTTTTAATGGCTCACCCAGTGGTGTTCCACTCTCTGCATCCCACAAGTGCACAGTGCTGTCATTGGAGCCAGAGACAATATGCTTCCCATCTGTGGAGAAGGCTACTGATGTGACCCCATCATTGTGGCCTTTTAATGGCTCACCCAGTGGTGCTCCACTCTCTGCATCCCACAAGCACACAGTCCTGTCATTGGAGCCAGAGACAATATGCTTCCCATCTGGGGAGAAGGCTACTGATCTGACCCAACCAGTGTGGCCTTTTAATGGCTCACCCAGTGGTGCTCCACTCTCTGCATCCCACAAGCGTACAGTGCTGTCATCAGAGCCAGAGACAATATGCTTCCCATCTGGGGAGAAGGCTACTGATGTGACCAAATCAGTGTGGCCTTTTAATGGCTCACCCAGTGGTGCTCCACTCTCTGCATCCCACAAGCGCACAGTGCTGTCATCGGAGCCAGAGACAATATGCTTCCCATCTGGGGAGAAGGCTACTGATGTGACCCAATCAGTGTGGCCTTTTAATGGCTCACCGAGTGGTGCTCCATTCTCTGCATCCCACAAGTGCACAGTCCTGTCATTGGAGCCAGAGACAATATGCTTCCCATCTGGGGAGAAGGCTACTGATCTGACCCAATCAGTGTGGCCCTTTAATGGCTCACCCAGTGGTGCTCCACTCTCTGCATCCCACAAGCACACAGTGCTGTCATGGGAGCCAGATACAATATGCTTCCCATCTGTGGAAAAGGCTACTGATGTGACAAAACCAGTGTGGCCGTTTAATGGCTTGCTCAGTGGTGCTCCACTCTCTGCATCCCACAAGTGCACAGTGCTGTCACGGGAGCCAGATACAATATGCTTCTTATCTGGGGAGAAGGCTACCGATGTGACCCAATCAGTGTGGCCCTTTAATGGCTCACCCAGTGGTGCTCCACTCTCTGCATCCCACAAGCGCACACTGCTGTCATAAGAGCCAGAGACAATATGCTTCCCATCTGGGGAGAAGGCTACTGATGTGACCAAATTACTGTGGCCCTTTAATGGCTCGCCCAGTGGTGCTCCACTCTCTGCATCCCACAAGCGCACACTGCTGTCATAGGAGCCAGAGACAATATGCTTCCCATCTGGGGAGAAGGCTACTGATGTGACAAAATTACTGTGGCCTTTTAATGGCTCGCCCAGTGGTGCGCCACTCTCTGCATCCCACAAGCGCACAGTGCTGTCATAGGAGCCAGAGACAATATGCTTCCCATCTGGGGAGAAGGCTACTGATGTGACAAAATTACTGTGGCCTCTTAATGGCTCGCCCAGTGGTGCTCCACTCTCTGCATCCCACAAGCGCACAGTGCTGTCATAAGAGCCAGAGACAATATGCTTCCCATCTGGGGAGAAGGCTACTGATGTGACAAAACCAGTGTGGCCTTTTAATGGCTTGCCCAGTGGTGCTCCACTCTCTGCATCCCACAAGTGCACAGTGCTGTCACGGGAGCCAGAGACAATATGCTTCCCATCTGTGGAGAAGGCTACTGATGTGACCCCATCAGTGTGGCCTTTTAATAGCTCGCCCAGTGGCGCTCCACTCGCTGCATCCCACAAGCGCACAGTGCTGTCATCAGAGCCAGAGACAATATGCTTCCCATCTGGGGAGAAGGCTACTGATCTGACTGAACCAGTGTGGCCTTCAAGCACTCCAAGTGTTGCTGGCCATTTCTCCATCTGTCCTGTTAAAATTGATAGAAGTTCTGGGAACTGTGAACGGAATCTTATGCTAACTTCTGACTGCGCTGGTGCAAAGGCTAGGGCTGTCACATAGAGATGTGGTGTACTTTGAGTCATTGCAGCCCAGAAGAAACTGATAAATTGTTTTACATCTGCAGCCAACAGTTTTATCATTTGATCCTAATGAACAATTAGTCCCGTAATAGCTGTCATCAAAATACATTTCATACATTACTCCATTCTATGAATTTTGAGAGAGCCGGTGATGCAATGGATACCATTCCCAGTAAGCTTAGGACTTCCAGCCAGAAAAGACTTTTGGTTTCAAGGAACTTTCTAGCCATTGCTGAATTTTCTGCATTGATTGACACCGCTGCTAGGTGGTCTGCCCAGAAACAGCAGCAGTATCTTATATACATTGGTATACAGGTGTTCAGTTTCTGTCCAAGACCTGGCATTTCAGCATTCTTCAGGTGTGATGTTGGCAGGTCACAGATATTGAACTTGAGTTCAGTCTGCATTGTCTGAAGCACCCTGGATGTAAATTCCTGCTTCTGTTCCTCTGTCCCACACAAGAGGTCTTTACGATGCTTACATAGCTTGGATTTTGGGGATGTCATAAACTCTCTGAATGATAGATGTAAAATCTGCACCACTCCAGTCTCTGGTGCATGAATAACAGCAGTTAGAGAAGTGAGTGCCCTTCTGACAGAATCCTCATCTGAGTTAAGCAATACAGCTAAACCCTTGGGGTCCACTGGTTGAAACAGCTCCAAAATTGTGCTGAGGATATTCATAGAAAGGATGTATAGCTCTTGATCAAGAGGATCTGTCTCTGAGGGCATTGGAATAGCCTCATTGACAATATGAAAGTATAGTTCATACAAATCTGCAAGTCCTACACCCTGAAGGACATAATTCAATGCTTTCTGTGGATTGGCCCTTGCAGAATGTGCACGGATATAGCGAATAGCTGTAGCAGCAAACACAAAGAGCCCATCTGCACGTCTGGTGATCTCAGCTATGTCATGCACCTGAGGTGACCAAGTAGATGGTGGTGTCCAAGAACTGCCATCCAATGACTGCTCAACATATCTTCCAATATCCTTCCGAACAGTTTCTTTATCAATATCGTCAAGGATGATTCCATGCATTGAGGAGCAGAGTATATCATGCTTGAGATATGATGGCACATCTGGCCGGCCTGTCAGAAAAAAACGAACATGGCCTGGTATCTCTGTGATACTGTCAGAAAGCCACCGGAGAAACATCTGGCCCCTATCTTCTCCACATTCATCCAGTGCATCCAGACAGATAACCCAGAGCTTCTCACTAGTTGGAATTTGAGCAAGCAGACCTACAACTAGTTTCTGAAACTGCACTTGTGGGTCTGCATCAAGAATCCCTGTATGGTCTTCATCCAAGAATTTGACAAGAATATTCTTGAAGTCTGCATTATAGTCTGCCAGTTGAAAGGCAAGAGTGAGAGGGAGACCCTTGATTTCCCGGCGCTCTGCATAGTTCCGGGAGAAGAAAAAGGAAGCTGCTAGGATGTGTCTTGCTTCTGCAAGAATAAATGCAACAGTCTTTGCAATGGTTGAC